TATATAAAACCAAATTATTTTATTACAACAAGGTGCTGGTACATTTAGATTTATTTATTTTCCCACTTGAGAAAGATTTAATGAAGATTATGCTGCACATATGTTTCAAATGGTCTCTCTTTCAGTGCTAGCAACACGAAATTATTTGATGAAAACTTTCTGGGCACATCACAATAAACCTTGACATATAAAAATCATGTTCAAAGAACGCAAATGATGACACGCTGGAAGAACAACAAATGGAGCCCACTACTTCTAAGACTAAAAAGGCACGGGGCAACTTGACAAAATTCCTGGTTGTTTGTTTTTAATGAAGAATGGGAATGTAAGAAAGTATTCGGTGTATAATTATTATCGCTAAATTTCTAAGAAAACGACGGCCAAAAAGCAAGGATTTCGGGACCGTGAGTAAGGCATCCTGTTCATGTTGGCCTGAAGACGCATTCGCTTTTGGATTTGCCCCCTGACACCAAAAACCGGATACGCCGCTGGCTTCCGGTTCAATCTCACAAAAAATCGCCGAGGCATGCAGGCCTAATCAGAAGCAGTGCTATTTTTTGGCCTTATTTCAATCCTCTTCGATGATCTTTTTTTGTATTAACAGAATGGCTTTGATTGTTCAAACAGAGAGTTCAGTCAGACAACTTTTTGTGTAATCCTGTCGCTAATGGCATAACTCAGCTGTACAAGTATGCCAAAGGGATCACTCCAGTCTCATCTACAGCCTTGCTGGAAGTGCCAGGTAACTGAACCATAATGGATTATATGTTATTTTATAACAATTATAAATATGAGCAAAGGAATTACGTGAGCGGTATTTGAACCTGTGACCTCCACTAATGAACTATCCAGCCATGGCTCATGCCACATTGCCACTATAATTCAGGACATGGGTAGCGCCAGGGGGACAGAGCTCAAATCTGAAGCAAAATGACAAACCATTATATAGACGGTGGTGGGGTAGGCTGAGGTATTTTAAGAAAATTGGAGATTTTCACCATAACGTTCTTTATGTTTTCTTACTTTTCCTTTTTCTAGTTTATCCCTGTTTAATTTCACCGTTTTAATATACTTTCTTGAGTAGTTAACCAATAAATATTTATTTTTTTGTCATCAAATTTAAGGGAATAATCTCATGAATGAAAGTACGAATTGGATAATTGTTCAGGTTCTCGGATGTCATCCCTTATCACCAGCATTGAATTCAACCACACTATGGCATTCATTGGAACATCAAAAGGAAACCTATTTAAAGTAAGTGGAATTCTATGGCTAAAAAGGCTAGCATTCAAACATTAAATGCTCATAAATCTTTACCGTTTTCACGAAGAGCCACACGTGCAAATTTTAAAGGAAAATTGGTTTTCGAGAAATCACCTGAGAATCTTCTTCTATTTCAAAACTGCAAATTACCAATATGGAACACGTTTTTTATTCCTTTAAAAACCCTCTAGTTATTCTTTGAGAAGTAAACTTTTACCTAAACCAAGTAATTTAAATGAACACAGTGAGTAATTAGCCGATATCAGTTAGTAAAGATGCGTGTCTGTTCGTGAAGTCGAAAATCCATTTTTTCCTACTTTTGGGCTCTTCTATGTAATGTAAATTTCTAATTTTCCACAGGGAAGGGGCACACGTGTTCACACCCGCACGACTGTTGCATTGTAACAAAGATGTGTGGCTCTTCATGAAAACGAAACTCTTACTGACCTACTTTTCGGCCTTTCCAGTCAATAAGTTTTTTATGTGTACGTACGAGGGGCAGCAATTTGTGTCTCTTCGGGAAAATGCAAAATGCACTTCTCGAGATTTTGGCCCCTAACGACATGAATGTAATCGATATCGAAAATGCTACTTTCGACATGTGTGGCTCTTCATGAAAACGGTCAAGAAATGAGAAATGACTGAATTTATCATAGCAGTGTGAAACTTCATTTATTTTAATACCCCCTAGTGCACCATTTTCCTATCACTTATGCCTGTATGACCAAGGCGTTCGGAAGTTCGCATGATCATGGATCAAGACGAAAAATTATGAATGTTTATGAATATAATGGTATGAATAATTTGATGAGGTGATAGGCTGAATGCTCTGTTGCACGAAGCAGAGCTGAAGAAAATGGATTTATTGTCACTGAACGAAATTATTCTTGCACAAATGAGAGTTTTATTCTTTTGTTTATACAGCAACCAAATAGTCCTGCACGAAATATATTTACTTGTCGCACCTTTGAATATGCAGAATTTTTAAACGACATATGAGCAACAACACGGCAATCGTATCACAGTGATTTATTCAAGTGATAAGTATTAATCATGCACTGTGAATTAAAACGGTATTTTTTCAATTTTGGGTGAAGGTGCCAGTTAGATAACGGAAATTTGAGTAAAAGAACATTTCAGTATACGGTGACGGGCTGGGTCGCAGTCTAAAGATATATATGGGCACGGTACTGGGCGGAAAACATCGTGGACATTCACAGACAGGACAGCACATGTACTGACAACAAATGCACACACCATGGACACCGATTTAATGTTTTCAGATTCATCTTCCACTCTTGATTATCTCCTTTATTATCAAATACTGGTGCAGGGATCAAGAGCGAACATACAGTATTTTGTTAATGATTTCTGATGATTTTGGATGGGGGATCTGATCTGAAACTGTACATGCTTGGAAATTAACGTGATTTGAGGACTATGGCCTAGGTGTATACCTTGATTTTTCCGCTGTGGGCTTAAAATGTCCCTGTAGCTTATACCACGGGCGGATCACACTGCTGGATGGCCACGCCTGCAAGCGTTGCAAGTCCCGGGGTACGTTCAAACAAGGTACCAAACAGTGGTTGACCTGAAAATATAACTCAGCTCTCGGTTTGAACACTGTAATCCGCTGTGGAAGAGTAACTTACGCCACTCTAAGTTGGCGCAACATGGACTCCCCAAAATCGGTGGATTAGCGTAAGCTGCGCCAAAATTAATTATGATCTCCCTCCACGGCGATGAGCGGCAAAACAACGTGTGGACACTTTCATCATTTGCTTCTTGTGTCTTAATGGTAAAAAAAATTAATTCAAATTTCTCAATTAGTGAAACGTCATCAAACTCCTAATACTTTAACGAATCTCCATTTTACATAGTGCTTGATACAAAGTTTGGATATAATTTCATTTTTTTTCCGGACGTGCAAATTGATCTCTTTTAAAATGTGTCCAAAGTAGAAATAACAATCTAATAAATTTGTGGATGGGTATTTGTGTGGAGGGCATGATGCTTTATAAGAATTCAACAACTTCAAACGATTTTGTAAATGTTTATGTGGGTATTTTGAGACTTTTTTCAAGTGCGCCATGTTAGGGAACACTCAGCTGGATTCGAGCCCAATTTCCGGATGTCGACAGTTTAGATTTCGACTGAAATTTCATGACACTGAAATTGTTCACAAAGGCTCAAAGATCATGAAGTTAACATTACCAATTTTTAACCAAGTGGGTTTTGAGTTTTTCAAGAAAAGAAGTTTGGCAACACTATGTGAGGGAAAGGCAAGTGAATGTCGAAGTGCGCCATGTTAGGGAACTCAATATATCGCATCATGCAACGTAGCCGGAGACGCATATGCCGAACGGAATTAAAAAAACCATTGAAGGATTTTTTTTCTAATCGTCTCGGAAATTATTTTCAACTTACACATAAAGTACCATGCAAAATAAGTTGCATTTATGTCTGCATATGAATGAGATTTTTAGAGTTGATGTAAGTCTGTTATAATGCAGAAAACCTTGTTTTTGTATCACAATTTGTTACAAAACCCGTTTTGTCAAAGTAACTACGCATGCCCATTTTGCTGTCTGATCTGTTTTCAAGACCGTAAATTTACAAGGCAGTTTGGGTTCAGCATGGAGGACTGCCTTTATGAACCCCACTGCCTTACTATAACAATCGCCCGTTGTTCCCCGCTATGGCGGGGTATTCTCCACTACTGTCTTCTGCTCCTAAAGCCACCCGTTGCTCTTGGTCACGGCTCAATATTCACCACGGCCATCTTTAGGAGCTTCCTTTGGGGGGTAAACTTCTGTCAAAATTACGGACTTACTAAGGACTCGGATACACAATCCCGACGCTGTCGCCAGTGTAACGGGCTCGGTCGCGGTGTAAGGACTTTATATGGGCACTGGGTTAAGCAGAAAACAACTTGGACATTGACAGATAGGACAACACGCTGCATTGTTCTTACCACTGAAGCAATAAACCATGACTTTTGCACTTTGCTTTGCTTAAGTACGAAAACGTTACTTTGTCACAAGGTCCACCATGATCGGGACATTGTAAGTATGTACGTTTGATACAGCTAAAGAAAACCCTGGAAATGCCCAACATCGACAAAAGTAAGGCACGACACAATCACTTTACGATAACATTAAAATACTTTAATTCCAATAAACCAACTAAATGAAAAACAATCTTACAATTTTCGATGCAAAAGAAATTATACAATATAAATAGCCATCACGAACTTAAAGGGTACCGTGACAAAGAAGAACAGGGGCATCGTGCACAGTGGTAAAGACAGCGGGGGCTAGTGGGTGACGTCAGCCTGAGGTCCATGGGAACTATGGCATTGGTGCAACACTCTCGGCTGATGGTGCAAAGGCATCTCTCGTTCCCAACCAAAAAAGCAAGAATAAATTTGACTTTTAGGGTTCGTGACTTAGCGACGAAAAAAGCTTTACACCCTAATACACCCAGTTTAAAGGGGTAACTCAAAACCATAGTTTCCTACTTCATTTAAAGCCACGTTCGATTCATAAACAAACATCAATCCATCAAAAAAATAAAATAGCTCATACAGTCTTAACCTCTAACTTATACAGTCATAACCGATACACTTATACAGTCATATTCCCTAGTGCAGATGCAACATAATTCTTATGGTTTTGTTTCCCATGCACTCCTGAAATCTCCAAAACAAATCATCGTTTGTGACTCTATGTTAGACAAAAAGGTATATATCCATGATCTGATCTTTTTCGGAAAGCTTCAACTATGGCATTATTAACTATTATAAAAAACCAAACCTGTACAAGTCTTTTTCATAATCAAAAAGGAATAATAAATGTGAACATTTTGGGCTCTATAAAGAACAAATCTTTCAAAAGTGTTGGTGTTAAAACTTGTAATTCATGCAGGTCCACGTCGAAAATAGCACCACAGCCAGACTGTATGAGAGAGTGCCTCTAGATACCAGCCCAGTACTGACGGATATCAAGATAAATGACACAAGCAGAGAGATGCATGTACTCACTGAACAAAAGGTTCGCTGTCAAAAATTTCTTCCCAGATTAAGGAAAATCCTGTAGTAGCCCATAGGCTCTTATTTCAGACAACTGCACGATCAATATCATCTTATGCATTCGACCGTTTCTGAAGCAGGCTTTCAGCGCTAATGCTAAGTATCTCTGGTTCGTAAGGAGACTGTTACAAACGTGCATTTACTACAGAATGCGTATTAGTGGGCGTGGTCAAAGCTGAAACGAAGCGACAATAGTTACGAATCAGATTATGAGCATGTGCCAAAAGACTAAGGGGATAGAATTAAAAGGTTTTTTAATTTACCATCAATTCTTTCATAAGCTTTCAAACTGTTATCTTTAGGTTACTGGGCTCAACCCGATTCAAAAATGAGCTTAAAACTTGAGCATCAGTTCTAGTCCTAAAATGTGCATGACTTCATGGTGACGCATCATGAATAAATTTAAAAGTGCGTTTTGTATGTCAGGGAAACGAAATGTAAGCATTCAATTTGCAATGGATCTGAAACATAATGACGTCTAGCTATGTTTTTGGTGCGCTTTCCCTTAAGGGCCCGATGAATCATGTCCTACGTCACCTTTAAAGGAAAGCATTATCCTCTTGAAGTCTAAATTGGTACTCATTGCATTTTGGAAGCAAAGTTGCTACTAATGCTCACGATTCAGTTTTGGGTGGTGACTACCAACAGCACAAAACTACTTAACGAATATGCTTCGGATACTGTCGCATCTTCCTTTTTTAGGCCTATTTGGAGTCAAACTTTAAGAAAGGGAATTATAATTAATTAAATCGGAGGTTCACTGTCAATAACATGTTAGTCAGTAGGGAGGATGGAGGGAAAGTCATATCAAATGTGCTGTTTCCTCACAGTTGATCAAGATGCGTGCTGAGAACTGTAGTCAGTATACCAACTGTGAGGCGTGTATTGGGACTGATGCAGGGAATGATGGAGACCCATACTGTGGATGGTGCACTCTCGAAAGAAAGTAAGTCCAACTGTTTGTGTTGATTAATTGTTGACTCATTGGTTAGATGATCTTGAAAGGCGCTCATGCTCAAGTCGATCTTTTGTTTTTTAATAGGTGTTCAAGATATTCCGACTGTGACTTGCCAGATGTATCCACTCGCTGGTTGGCCTACAATGCTGCTCAATGCATTAATATCACCGATGTTGCTCCTTATGACAGCTTGCCAATCACTGTCACGGAACAACAGGTGACTATTCCCCAAAAAACTATTTTCCCAGTGAAGCCAAAGACGTGGGGGTTTCTCTTGTGTTGATTAAAATTTACTTATCATGATGGTAAACTGTACTGAAAACACAATGCCTGTTTGTTTTCCTTTTCATTGAAACACTTGACTTGGAAATGACTAGCCTTAGAGGTCTTGGTTCAAAGTAGTCTAATGAGCATCACTTTGGTTTAGGTTTTGAACACAGAAATCATTGATTTTATCGCACAGATATAAAATGAACATGATATTTTTAAAGTGGTAAATGAAACCAACTGTGATTGTTAGGTCTATGCGTCGTGCCACTGCCGGGTTGAACTTGCATAGATTTTTAAAAACCGAGCACGGCAGTAACACAGCGCTTAACGCCAAATTTACTCAACAAATTGCATTCAGCATGGCAAGCTCTTTATCTCGACAGGGAATACCGCGGTCTCGATGTTCTGAATGGTACTCACACGACACTGCTGTGGCCGGTTTGGCACCTATCGCATTTGCCATGCTGTCCTGATATTGCCGCCCTTATCCGAATGAAGTTCGGAACGGCAGTAGCATGACGGATAGCCTAGGCCTTATGCGTTGAATTCAATTTATTTTTATAAGTGAACTAAGTAAAATCTGAAGCACACGTTTGTTTTGGGTTTCCTTTAGATCAAGCTGAGTGTACAACAGTTACCTTACCTAGCGACTGACCAGAGTTATGAATGTTACTTTGGATCGTACCGATCTCCTGCTACAAAGACTGGTGAAATGCTTAATTGTACATCTCCACCTAGTGATGGGATACCTTCCATTCAGCAAAGAGGTCGGCAAAAAAATTCACGTATAAATTCAAAGGGAATTTTAAAATAATTTAGGGGAAACTTAAGCTTGGAAAATTCATGTTTGTATATTATATGCATCAAGGAGTTTGCTTGCTGATAAGCCTTTGACAATAATTTTTTTAACATCTTGCTCGTAACTCTCCCTTAGATGACGCTGTCAGCGTTGACCTAAGTGTCTATTCTACGGAAACAATGGTCCATTTCATCGATACCAGCTTTCACTTCTACAACTGCTCAGTTTTTACATCGTAAGTATTTAATTGCAATTGCGCCATCATTTAAATTCCCTATTTTCGTTTAATTTTCTACACACAGTGTGTTCCTCTTGCCCAACATGCAAGCAAGATATTTCAGCCCCAAATGTATTCTTTTGGAGTGCAGTTAGTTCAGTATTTGGATTCGGCAATTGATTTTCCATGTTTGTTGTTTTACATATAGCTGCGTATCCTGCGTTGGTAGTCGCTGGGCCTGTGACTGGTGTGTGTTTGACAACAGATGTACTCATGAAAGCTCCACGTGCACTAAAGCTAATGAAATCATCATTATTGGGAAAAATGTAAGAGAGTTACAAACAGAAGTCATTCCATATACATTTATTGGCTTTGCTCTTATTCATCATAATTTTTAAAAGAAGTCATCATGTCTTTTGGACATACAACACTTTGTACATGTCATCATGCAATTCTGCAAGTGCAATTGTGTTACTTTTTAATTAACACGCAGCTTAATTTGATCAGACTACAGTTTTGTTGATTTTCATTTTAGACATTATCAAAGACAGTCCTTGTTTCAATCGTTATACACACAGAATCCAGAGGGACCTAAATCATGTCCACAGCTGGAAGCTCAAAGTGGTGAAGTTCTTCTGCCTAATGGAATCCAGAGAAGTATTACAGTCAGGACTGAAAATCTGCCAAATGCAACTCAGGTAGAAATATTCTCATACAATTCTATGAAACCACAAACACAGGGGATTACGAAATGTGCAAGAAAAAGGATTCTTGCCCCATGAGGAAAGCTTATGAGGTACCGCTTAAGATCGCGTGTTACTGCAAGCAACCTCGTTTCTTCAGCTGTGCATTATTCTACAAATGCTGATGTGTGATAGGTATAAAGTATATTCTTTCCATCAGCTGTATTGCTTAGAGATTTGTAAGATTCCTTCGTTTGGTTTATGAGTAGATTTCTAGCTATGGTTGTAGCTTGGACATCGAGGGTGTACCTCAGACTGTCATGGCACGACGTTATGGAACGGATATCACATGTGAGCAGAAAGCTGTAAGTAATCATTCAAATCTGCAACTTTCATGAAATTTTGCCGTCTGGCACAGCTGAAAATCAGTTCTAATTGATATGAGATTAGTTGTTCCACTCACTTTTAATCAATGAAAGCAATCTTTTTCTCAACAGTACACGTATTTGTCGAATACTGAGCCAGAGCTCGAAGTGAGGCTGACTGTTACTTGGACTGACACGTCTGGTGCAGCACATATCCTTGATGACATACATGGGTTTAATGGTAGGCTAAGCAATAAAATCAGACGTAAATTTATATGACAGCATAAGTTGCAAAAAGCAACATCCGCAGCCGTATTCCTCATTAACTATTTAAAGTTTCAGTGTGTATTTTTTCCTGATAGCAACTCTGTACAAATGTGAAGTCCAGAAACCAGACTGCAGCCGATGTGTTACAGCCCGTCCAGAGCTTGGATGTCTGTGGTGCGGTGCCATGCCATCCGTATCGGGTGTTTGTAAGCTGAATGAAACTTGCAATGAAAATGTTGTGACCTTGTATAATGGAGTGAACTGTCCTGATCCAGTTCTCAACGAGGTGGGTTGAAATGATGAGCCATTACCACTTCTGCCATTTTACTGTCATTTCTTCCTGAAGCCCTGTTCATAAAAACCAATAGCTTCTTTCGAACGAAATTGCCACGGGCCTTTCTAAATCAGAATTTGAATTACACTTGCACCAAACATGACCATTTTCCCGTAGAAACTGTAAGGGGTTGTATTCAGTTTGGTCTCACACCGTTTCCTTGCTTATCACCCCTGAATTATGATGAAGGTGTTTCCTTTGACTGGACCAATTGAAGGCAATACAATCCTTGCCGTAATGGGAACTGACATCGGTCGACGATTTAATGATGTTGTGGCTGTGATGGTTGGCAATCAGTCCTGTGATCTGGACGGATTCAGCTCAGACTATGTCATTGGTGCAAGGTATAAGAGCAAGAGGATTGTTTCCAGCAGAATTAAATTGAAATTTTGTGTAGACTGACTAGCAGGCTGAAACACAAGATACATAAAAACTATTGTCGCTGGGGTCGGTGAATAACCATCATGAGCAACCTTAAATGAATGTCATGTAACGCTATCTTTCAGTGTCAGCTGCAGGACAAGACCAGAACGTGAAGGAAATGAGTCGGTCAGTTTGACAATCAAGGGGGCAGATGGTACACTGCAGAACAGCTCTGGAACTGTTAACTTTCACTACACAGTAAGTTACAGTGGTTAATGCTAAAAAACGCATACAGGATAGCATGCTGACACCAAACGTGTGTTGTCCTTGTACAGTTCAACCATCAAATTCCGGAGTATGAGCTATAGGCCAATTCAAGGTTGTTCAAGTTTTAAAAATGCGTATGTGGTTGTTTACCTGAGATTGTCCAAATCAGATAG